TATTTCCTCTTCCCACCTTAATGCCTTGTTTTCCTGCCATTATCTTTATTTCAAATATTTAAGGGTAACTTAAATCTTAGGTTTCCTTCTCCCCTTTTCCCACCTTAATGCCTTGTTTTCCTGCCATTATCTTTATTTTAAATATTTAGGGCTAAATTGAGTCTTAGGTTTCCTTCTCTCTCCCCTCTTCCCACCTTAATGCCTTGTTTTCCTGCCATTATCTTTATTTTAAATATTTAGGGCTAACTTGAGTCTTAGGTTTCCTTCTCTCTCCCCTCTTCCCACCTTAATGCCTTGTTTTCCTGTCATTATCTTTATTTTAAATATTTAAGGTTTCCTTCTCCCTGCTTTTGGGAAGCATTTTTAACTTGAGTCTTTGGTTTCCTACTCCCTGCTTTTGAGAAGCAATTTTTAACTTTAATTTCTTTTACTTCCCCCTCTCTTCTTTCCCAGTGTTTCTGTACAAAGGGTTTCATAGCTATTGGTTTTTTAAATTTATTTAAATAAATAAAATAAAGTATATACATAAATGCATAAGTAAAATTAACCCTTTACTAGGAAATGAGAGAGGGTGATATTTTACTTCCAGGAATCAGAGGAAGCTTTGGATCACCTCAGAAGCCATGAGAGTTTTGTGGTACCAAACAGTTACTTGTATAGAAATATTAGTATACTTCAGATAACAAAAAGTACATACAGGTTGAGTCTCCCTTATCTGAAATGATTGGGGCCAGAAGTGTTTTGGATTTTGTGTGTGTTTTTCTTTCAGATTTTGGGGTATTTACATATATATAATGAGGTATCTTCAAGGTGGGACCCAAATCTAAACAGGAAATTCATTTATGTTTTATATACAGCGTATACACATAGCCTGAAGGTAATTTTATATACAGTACTTAGGCTAATTTTGTGCTTGAAAGTTTGTGTACCTTGAAAGCCAAGGTGTCACTATCTCAGCCATCCAAGTGGACAATTTTGGATTTGGGGGTATTTCGGAATTCCAGATAAAGGGGACTCAACCTGTATGTTCCTGGACATCATTTTTTAAACAGAAAATTTGGCACCAAGGGCA